AAGAACATGTGACAAGTGTAGCATTTTACAAAAAACAAATGTCTGCACAGCCTGGCAAGGGTCATACATCCAACTAATGAGAGATGGTTTTATTATAGAAAACATTTACCTGCATAAACACATAAATCTGCAATCCCAAATACATTGCTGCAAATTTAACATTTTATAACAAAAGACATTAAGTATAATAATCTCAAAATAACGACATTAGGTTTGAAGGCTCACTTTGGCTACTTAGCTCCATGTTTGGTGTCAAAATGCTGATGTAGATTGTACTCTGACGACCGACACGGCCTCATAACACAGAAGACATACTGGTTTCTCTCCTTGAAGCACAAACACATATTCACCTTCCCATCTTTCTTGAAACGGCCTTCATCTGCATCAGTTTTTCTTTTCCTGGACATTTTGGGATCATTGTTTGTACTTCTTAATTCCACTTGTTTGGAAAATTATATTGATGTGGAAAAACTGCAATCTAGTGGCGGGATGCTGTTACTTGGCAGGTAACATAATCGGCATGCATTATGGGAAATGAACTTTGTTAGTTTGTTGTCAGTGCACCCTTTTGACTTATTTATTATACGACAGTCGGACCTTTTAAGCTCTCGTGGGCCACATAAAATGATGTGGCGGGCCACATCTGTCCCGCGGACATGTGGTTTAGATGTTTTGTAGATGTGAACATGATTATAACCATGTGCGTTTGGGTTTTATAAACGCATATTAAACTTTGGACGTTTTCTCCCCCACTAACAGACATCACACCAACCCAGTGGGCACAGAGTGGCGCTGGAAAATGGACCCTGCTGAGAAGATCCTGCAGGAATCGTTAGAGAAGCACCAGAACATGATACGGCAGTTCAGAGGTTGGTGTTTTTATGCATTTCTTATACACACACTTTGTCTCGGTAGTGGGGAATTCTGTGGCTGAGTGGTTAGAGCAGTCGTCCTCCAGTGGGAGAGTCGAGGGTTTGACTCCACCAGCAGTCACATGCCGAAGTGTCCCTGGGAAAGACACTGAACCCCTCACTGCCTCCGATGTGTCCCATCAGTGTCTGACTGTGATAAAGCTCTGATTAGTCTGTGCATACATCTAGTTGAGAGCTGTATGAATGGGTAAACGAGGACACAGATTGTTGTAAAGAGTTTTGAGTGTCTTGATAAGATAGAAAGGTGCTGTATAAGTACAGTTAATTTACAATTTTTATTATTATTAATAATAGTATTAATAATATTATTATTATATGCCCATCAAAAAACGGGTATGTAGTCTTTGTACGACTGTAAACTTTCTCTTGTCCAGGTCATAACTTCTTATCCGCTCAAGATAGTTTAATGAAACGTGGCACTCATTTGTACCTCCACTACATCGAGTGTCACGTACACTTTTCATCCCCCAGCTCCAAGGTCAACGTTAAAACAAGGTCAAAGTTAAAACAAGGTCTTTGCTCGTCCGGCCCATTGCTGTAATGATGTGCAGTAGTTTGTCGACGGCGTATAATGTGCTGTGTGTGGTAATTTTGTTTTATATAGAAACGCACGGACACAACTCTAGCACTTGTCGTCACGCACACTTTGCCTTCTTGCAGTCTCCATTTAGAGCTCAGGACCTTGTGACCTTGAGTGTAATGAAGCAGAGTGGTGATTAAAATGCTGCTGTTCCAAATGTTTCTGAACAGCCTCGCTATAGTGCCTCATAAAACACACTCACGAGTTTATATTCTTCATCTTAAATGTCTACTCGCCGACATATTTTCCGTATTTTCGGAGCTCCTTGTGTTGCCACTCAAAAAAGAAAAGCCAAACTGCACCTTTTCATAGTTTGGCTCAGTGTTTACTGTGGATGCTGCTGGTGTTCAGGATCTTCTGGCAGTGGTGTTCAGTGGCTCTGTCAAAGCAGAATTACTGAACGTCCTCCAAGCACACCCCGACTGCAAGAGGTGCAGAGGTTTGATGCCAAGACTTGACACTTCATTCCGTACCAAATCAACCCAACATGACCTACTTGTGGTTAGTTGTGTTCAACAGGGATTAAAAAACTTCAGAAAGATGTCGCAGAGCAAAATTTAACAGCTCTGTTAAAAAGTGAAGTTTATTTATTCAAAACCTGAGGTGATGACTTCAAGTTTGTTTTCCGAACGATTTTCTAATTAAAGGAGGTTAAAAGGCGAAAAGTAAAACATTTAGAGTTTAGAAAAGGTAAATTAAAATCCTTAAAGTTTCACATTTTGAAGATATAATCATGGTGTGATGAATATTCTGGTTTTCCAAAAACAAAAAGTCTCCAAAGGCAGATTGAACTGTCGTTTTGTAGACTAATTCTTCTTCTAGTTCTTGTTCTTCCTGTTCTTGTTCTTTTTTACGTCTTCCTTCTTCTTCTTCAAGGATGATATATTTTAATGTCCGTAATCTTTCTTTTGTCTGAGGCATAACTTCCGATCCGCTCAAGATAATGTAATGAAACTTGATACACATTTGTGCCACCACTACACGACGCGTCACATAATCTTTTCATCACCTCAGCTTCAGCATCAAGGTCACAAATCAAGGTCAAAGGTTATAAAGGTCTTTGCTTGACTGGAACATTGCTATAGATTGCTGTATAATAGTTTGTTGACGAGCATATAATGGGACGGATGAGGTTAAATAGGTTAAATTTTGTCTCAGTATTTTAATTTTTTTAGTTTTTAAATTTTCCCATTGCCTTGAAAAGTGGACAACCATGTATTAGCCTTTTTCTGTGTTTGCTTGTTTGTCTGTTAGCAAAATATGCCATGAACCAGTGGACATATCTTAATGAAACCTTTAGAAAGTAACTAGATATTCATGTCCAATGATGAAAATG